TTGCTGGGGCCTTAGCCCAGAACATGTACATCATGGCAAGGCCCCTACTTGAGGTCTCAATCCTCACATTCCATCCCCCTTAGCTTCGAAAGTCCGCTGAGATGCTTACTTCACAGGCGCCTTCCCTTTCAGTTTCTTCTCATAGTCTGCCACCACCTGAGGAGCTGTGTCAATCAGTTCCTCCCTGGTAAACCAACGATCTTCTTTTGGATCCGTATGATGCCTGAATCTGATGCGATACTCTCTCTTGGGCTTGGGAGGTCTTCCTCGGCCTAGCGGCTTTGGAACAGGCATGTCCGTGTGATCCACAATGTCGTCTATGTCAACTTGACCATCCATGGTTGGGGGCAGCATCGATCTACTGGAAGGGAATTGATCTGTCTCAGCGAAAGGTGCAAGCTTTGAGGCACGAAAAACTGGGTGAGTCCGTAGATGACCAGGGACACGAATGACGTACATAGGACCATCCATTTCATCTCCCACTACATCCAAGACTTCCCAGGGACCAAAGTATTGAGGCATTAGTTTACGAGATATTCCGAACTCCTGTCCTAACTCACTAGCCTTGACCCAGACACGTTCCCCACCTGAAATGTGGACTGTCTGCGATGTTGATTCTCATAAGCAATCATGGCTTGCTGAGCTTTCTTCATATGTTCAACAGCCTTGCGCAGCAATACTCATATTGCACACCGTATTCAAGTGTGCCTGGAGTTGCAGCAGGTCGGTTTTCAGGTAGGAGGTAGTCTAGTGCTGATCTAGGCTTCCATCCCAAGTGCAACTGGTTAGGACTAACGCCGTTACTACTATGAATAGCATTGTTGTACAAGCTGGCGATGAGAGGCAACTGCTCATCCCAATCATCTTGGTTGGGCTTGATGTAATGCCGCAGCAAGTGCTGTACCACTCTGTTCATTTGTTCGGCTTGTCCGTTGGCTTCGGGATGATTCCCTGAAGTCATTTGAAGTTGACTGCCCATCTGTTCCACAGTCCTCTTCCACAGTTTACTTGTGAAGCGAACGTCTCGGTCACTAATGATGGTCTTTGGTAAACCAAAGTCCCTTACCCATTTGTCCTTGAACAACTTGATGACGTACTCTGTCCTAGTTGTCTCTGGCATTGGTATTAGTCTAGCGTACTTGGTGAATCTGTCAATGATGATGAAAATGTGCCTCTTACCACTCTTGCTGGTCACTAGGGTGTCCATGAAATCCATGGAAACACTCAATCTTGGACCATCAGGAATGGGTAAAGGCTTCAATAACCCAAGCGGTGCTTGAGTTCGCGGCTTGTYCCGMTGACAGACCTGACAGGTCTCAACATACTTCTTTGC